ATACTCACGCATTCACGTAATTTACCAATTAATTCCGGCTCTATCGTTTGGAGAAAAAAGCGATAACTGATGGCTTTCTCGACATTTTTTCTAAAATACCATACAATTGTGCGTTGAAGCGACGACTCAATTTCGATAAAGCCGGGACTATTCACCAATTGCATACGTGCCCTTTTTCTCCTGATATTTTTACGACTATTCTCGGTATAGCGCTCCTGCGAAGACGGTGGCGAGTCTGCATTATCGCGGGCATCAGTAGCGGTATGCGAGGGGATGGGCTGGGCGGTGATAGCTAGTGTGCCGGGGTGCACGTGAGCGAGCGTGGGTGATAGGGTTAGGCAAGATGCACGCGGTGTGTTAACCGTCGACGGCGGCGGTACAACCGGTTGAGCAATCGGTGTTGCAGCGGGAGGTGCCCAATTTATAACAGACGCACGACCTATAGTATAGATTATCAATATTAATATGTTACAATTATTATTTATAAAAGAAAAAAATTATTTACCCATTGCACCACCACCTATCCGTACAGCGCTATGGAAGTCTGCAGTGTTTTTAGCGATCACTATTTTTAAAAAAGAAATTTAATTAATAACCCTGAGTTAAGCAAATCATTGCCGACTCGAAAAAACATCGTAAGTCAAAAATTTGGATTATTCACTTTAAATAATGTATAAAACTGATTTAAAAATACTACTTCGGGATTTAAAATATTCTTTAAATTAGTTTTTTTTTACTTTTATAACTATTAATATAAGGGATATTGATAAATAGCTAAGATGTTTTTTCCGTCTCATCGGTTTAATATTCAATGTACTTACTATGACAATTTTGGACATGGGCACTGAGATTGTTCTCTCGGGTGAACGTTTTGAGGCATATCCTGCATGAGTTCACCGATCCATCGTGAGTCTTTACGTGTCTGTTCAGGTTGCGTTTATGAGCGTACACTTTTCCGCAAATCACACAGTTAAACATTTTCGATAATTTAATATGCACAGTGGTTTAAAATAATAAAATATAATCGTGGGAACAAATATATGTTAAGAGCGTGGAACGTGTTTAAACTCTGTAGGCCGTCTGATCTGTATTCGTCGGGACCGTTGTCGTTTCGATGTAAGAACTAATCGACCGCTAAGATTAACCAGCGCTCTGCGTAAGGGTATATATTATATGGGTACTGGGTAGTATGTGTTTCATATATATGTATATATATAATGTACACATGAAATGTACGCATCGTGCAACATGTGTTAACAATGACGCTGCTGGTAGTGGCGATCTGATAATGATGAATAACTACTCAACGTTGTATTTGCTATTCAAATATTTTAATTCATATTATTTTTGTTACTATTATTATTGACGCGTTTACACCGCGGCGAACTATCGCCATATAATATACAGTCGTCAGTTACTGTGAGACCGTTACACTGGCCACAAGCGCCTTATTCGCGTTAAGACAGCTAAAACGAATTATCTACGTTTTTTAAAAACGATTATTTTTATACGTTGTATTAAAATGAATTTATTAAAATGTTCGGCTGATTGCCGACCGCTAGTGCGTTTGGTGCGCGAGAACTCGAATCCAGAGTATCCTGAGTATTCAAGCTTTTTATCGAGACTAAAAACATTTGATTCACATCCAACGCAATCTCGTCAAGATAAATATTCGCTGGCCGAATGCGGATTCACTTATACCGGAGCTGACGACTTGGTTCAATGTCACTACTGCGGCATATTGTTGGGGAAATGGGAGGAAAATGACGAAGTGTGGCAACAACACGCCTTGCACAACCCCGAATGTGTATTCGTATTATTATATAAAGGAGCGCAATTTATTGAAAATGTGAATAATGAATTTAATGTCAAACGTAATACCCGTGATAATAGTCAAGGCCGTAGATGTAAATCGGAATCGTATGATGTTGTCGGCTAACATGCAGCTGTATAAAATTATGTATAATGTATATTTTTCATGAATAAATATGGAATTCTTTAAACAATTAAATCGCTTCAATTTTTAACTTGGTATCCTGCTAAAAGCATGTTTATGTTTTTATACATGTATGTATATATTTTTAATACGTATGTATAGGTTTTTAATATATATGTATATGTTTTTAATACGTATGTATAGGTTTTTAATATATATGTATATGTTTTTAATACGTATGTGTAGGTTTTCAATATATATGTATATA